GCCGCATGCCCTGCCTGCCCCAGCAGCGGAGAGCCACGTGTCACGAGCAGGCCCAAGGAAAGAAAAATAGTGACTTTGCTTTAAAGTTTCGTGAAGAGGGAAAAGTTGTTAAGATTATGCTCTAGACTTAGAGAAAGAAGGAGCTGTTTAAGAGCCTCCTGTGTAGGAAGGGAGTGTTATTTCCCAAAGCCATGCACATCCTGGCGCAGAAGCCGGAATGTGGGAAACTGTGGACAATAGCGGCTGCAGGGCCTGTTTAGACACAGGCCCCGACCTGCTGCACCTTGAGCCACAGGATGCTGCCCCAGACCCAGCTAGGCATGGGACAGCCTGTTGTCCAGGCCAGCACAGAAGAACACTGTAAAATGGATATGCTTGTTTATCAGTTTTGGTCTTCCTTTGCAAAGTAGGGCTTGTAAAGCTAACTGGTTTGTGCACATGAGTAAGGAAAATTAATTGATTGAACAGCTGAAAGCTGCTTAGCTTAGTTTTTCCAGGTTTCTGGGAGTTTTTACCAACCTTTTTATTAAGGTAAGCCCTGCGTGCAGTGCGGTGTGATATTAAAAGAGCTGTTGTTTCAGATGAATTAAAGCACGATTAATTCAGGAACACCCAACAGAAGTCATCCTTTTAACCGCTGAACTACGCCTTTCTGATTACTTTGTAGGCAATACTTGGTTCAATAATCTAAATCAAACATTCCTTAGCTGGCAATGTAAGAGGCAGCAATAGCGCATACTCCCTGGAGCGCTTCATATCGGTGACGCACGGCACAGGCAGGGCTGCCCCAGAGGCAAAAACTGCCGTGGTCAAAGACAGAACATTAATGGAAGCTCTTTTATTGAAAATACTGCCAACTGGTCCCAGGCTTGTAAGCTATGTAGGTAAAGTTATGGTTCACCAACTTCATCAGCTCTTTTTCTATTCAGCTCCTTTTTCTCCAATTATGGGTGTGTGAGGCTTGAAGATACAATGAATGTTTGCAAGTTGACACAGGTCTGATCTAAGTATACTTCAGCTCAAGTACAAAGGTTACAGAAAACATTTTAAGCAAACTAGAACTTGGTCTGTAAAAAGAAAAAGAAAAAAAAAGAGAGAGAGAGAACAGCCTCCCCCAAAAGCGTGTTTTTTAGATCAGTTAGCTGCACCTCTAGCTAAGGATCACCCTTGCCTTGCTGCCTTCTTTGCTGAATAGAATTTTGCTAAGCAGTTCTCCCTCTGATCACCTGCAGCCTTTCCCTGCACATGCTCTTGATGAGTATTTTTGGAGAGAGATACTCCAAATCCCTGAATGTAAACAGAATCATTTGATGACAAAGAGCATTAAAGAAATACATTCACACATCTCCTTTTCCATAGCAATATAATATACTGTAGCTAGAGCTAGTTGGAAAATTTCAACATGAATTTTCTTTTTTTTGTTGTTGTTGTTGTTGTGATTAAATGTCAATCAGAACAGTGAATCAATCAAACTGTTTAAGTCAATTAAACTGTTTTGAGTCTGAGGATGCATCCAGCATAACTACACATTTCATAGACTTTTTCTCTTGGCAGCCTGCAGTGGATTTTTAAATATCTGTAGCATATAATTTGTCTTCAATACTGAGAGTCACATGTCAGCATTGGCACCACCTGTCAAACTTACATCAAGGCATTCCTATCACATGCCATGAACTGCCAGAACTAAAAGTGATAGAAAGAGGTTTATTGGAAAACACTGTTAAATAAAGCACAAGGTATTTGTAGACTTCTTAAGGAGCATCAAATACCTTGAGATAAGCAGGTAGAAGCAATCTTCAGTTTCGAAATCAACTTTTTTTCCAACTTACAGAAAACACAGTCAAATTGCAACTTCTCAAAGATGTGGGAGCAGGGCACCCTCTGAGGTAAGATTGCTCTTAATACAGACGCTGTTTCATATAATCCCTTCTCTATTGATATGGCAACCTCCAGACCCAGCGTTGTGAGGTATTGCGGGGCAGATAAACTACAAAGATTTCATCCAGACAAATGCAAATATAAATAAAAGCGGCAATGTACTGTAAATTATATCAACTTCGCATCTGGAAGCGTGCAGAGAGTTTAATTTACTGACAGCTGGTGTGCAAAAAAAAAAAAAAGGTAGAAAAGCAATGAATGCACATAGTAAAGAAGCATTACAGTCTTTTAACTTATTAACTATCCTCATTGCTCTGCTATAATTTTGTTTTCCCTGTCAGTTGAATACTAGTTATTTCGATTACACACTGAATGTGAACCTGGAGTAAGGTAAATTACTTCAACATTTCAGCCTGCTTTATTACCATCTTATCCTCCGGTCTGTTTGGTTTTTTTGTTTTGCTTATTTTTCAAATTCATGTGCATATGTTTTACAGCTTGTCACTGATTAATTTGGTTTTGTGAGGTTTTTCAGCTGGTGGATGTGAAGGACAAGAACAACAACATTGTAAGGACTGAAGTAGCTCTTAATTCCTACACTGTTTGCAGAGGCTAGTAAATCTTGACAAAGAAGCATTCCCTCAAATTTAGCAGCTCATTTGGAAAACTATGTAACACTTGGTGTAAAAAAATCAAGATAGATGGAACAGACTGCATAGGGATAAGCATCTCTGAACCAAGATCAGCACATGCAATAACGGGCAGAAATTTTTCCAGCTTGTTTTTATTCTGTATGTCTATTTTTCATCTTTTTAAATGTATATGCTAAACAAGCATTGTAACAATCTTGGAAATTTGTATTAGACTATTCAATGACTTGACAACTTAACAGAGTTGTGAAGAATTTTGAAACGTAGATTTTCTTTCATTGTATTTACACATGCATAAGGATTGCAAAAGATTGCTTTTTTCCTCTATGTGTAGGGAGACATCCAAGGTCAAATTCTCCCGTTTGGCAAATTTCATTAATTTAATGGAGCTACATTGGCACCTACACTTTTTACTTCAACCAAAGCTACAGCTTAGGAAACTTGCTGGCCCTCCCTGTAATTGCATCGTCAATAAAGTTAGTTCTGCGTGTTCCTCAGGCTGCATTATGCTGCTGCAAAGGGCTGCTAGCTCAGCCAGCGGATGTACAAAAAATGTTTCTGGGCTCATTTGTTTATGATTTATCTTTCCTCTCCATTTGTATTATTTATAGGTTATGAAGCACCTAAAGCCACAGCGCCTTGCAGAAGCTTTTTAAAGTCATTGGTGCTGCTCACACCTGTGTTTCGGGTCACCAGGGATGAAGGTCACCCACCTGCCTAGTCCCAGATTTACTTTTTCACTACAGACATCAGAGAAGAGTAACAGTGTAAGGGTTTCTGGAGATGTAGACGGCAGCTTTAAGAGCTGTTTGCAAAAGCCATGCCTTTAACAAAGGTCGCTCATATTT